AGGGCCTGCAGGGAACCTCATCCCCCATCCTCCATCCCAGGGCCTGCAGGGACCCCCCCATTCTCCATCCCAGGGCCTGCAGGGATGCCTCCCCATCCCCGGGCCTGCAGGGACCCCCATCCCCCATCCCAGGGCCTGCAGGGACCCCTCCCCATCCCAGGGCCTGCAGGAACCCCTCCCCATCCCAGGGCCTGCAGGGACCCCCATTCCCCATACCAGGGCCTGCAGGGACCCCCATTCCCCATACCAGGGCCTGCAGGGACCCCTCCCTGTCCTAAAGCTGGCAGGGACCCCTTCCTTGTCCCAGGACCTGCAAGGACCCTTTCTTCATCCCAAGGCCTGCAGGGACCCATCCCCATCCCAGAGTCCAGAGGGGGTCAGCATGGCCTGGGGAGGTAAGGACACTGAACTACACAAATGTGAACAGACATTAGCCGCACATGGCCTGGGAAGGAGTCATATTGCAGGAAAGACGTCAGGTGGCACTGTGGTTTATGCATTAGGCTACACACACTGGCTGACAGTCGGATCCCACCAGCCCGCGAGTCCCCAGGAGGAGGAGGAGGAGGCAGGCCGTCTGCTTGGTAAAGGTTTATTCCTGGGGAACCCCGTGGACAGTTCTCCATCCGACTCAGCGCTGTGGATTTAGGATTTTGGGGGTTTAGGGTCAGAGCATTGGCATCCTGGCCATGCAACCCAGCACTGGCCATGCCCCTTTCCAGCGTGGAGCCCTGGGCAAGTCCCTCACTTCCCAGGCCTCGGGCTTCTCACTCTAAAACGGGCATCTTAACATCAGAACTTTGTTCTGACAAGGTGATGGCCTAGCATTAAGTGGTGGGTGCTGATGTCCTTTAGTCCAACTGGCCCAGTGTCAGCCCCTGGGGAGCCGTCACACCACAGAACTCCTGGGGGAAGCCACCTCCAAGGCCACAGGGACTTCCCTGGCTGCCTCTCCAGGCCCAGCCTTCTTGGGGACCAGGTGAATCCCACTACCATGCTGCCCCTCCCTAAGGTTCTCCCACCCCCTCATCTGGATGGCAGAGGGGCCCTTGGTCTTCAGGGCCAGGCCGGTCAGGCATGCACTGGGTCAGGAGTCCCCAAAGGCTTCCAGGGCCAGCTGGGGAGCTGGGGAGAAAGGTGGCCTGGAAACCCCATCTGAGACACAAGGTGGCCTGTTAGCGCAGTGGAACCTGCCCGCTGCTTCCTGGGGGAGGATGAAGGGGTTAGGACCGCAGCTGCAGAACCCAGCCGGGCTGCGGTCATGCAGGGTCACTGTGAGTCACAGTCAGTCCCTCAGTGATGGGTCTGAGGCGCACTCCCAGCAACCCCCAGGCTTCCTGGGCAGGAAGTGTCTCCAGTGCCTGGGTGGTAAACCACCATCCCTTAGGAAACACAGCCGGCTTTACCCCCAGAAGAGGAAGCAGATGGGGAGAGTGGAGCCCTGAGGTCCCCTTCCCTCAGCCCAAGCATTAGCATGCTGCAGACAGAGTTCAAATCCCATCTTGACTGAGTGGCCTGGGGCGAGTTGCCTCCCCACAAGCTCCAGTGTCAACACGCTATTATGTCACTTAATGGCCTGGATCAGGCCAGAGCCTTCCCAAGAACAGGTCAGGGGGTCCTGGGAGCCTCCCTCCTCCCACATCCTTCCCAGGGAAATAGGGCAACTTCTCCTCTCGGGTTGCATACAGAAACTGAAAACTCCCTTATCATCCAGCGTCTCCACTCAGCGCCCACTTTCCAGTGTTGACCGGCATACAGTGCCAGGGCTGGAGTGAGAGGGCGCAGCGTCAGTCCTGCCCTCCAGGAGCTCTCGGTTATGACCCCGACCGTTCCACCCCAGCACAGGAGACCCAGAGAACAGGGACGGCTTCCTGGGGAAGACTTAGCGCAGGTGGTTGTGAGGTACCATCGAGTCGACCCTGTCAACAGCGGAGCTCAGCCCCGCCCTGCCCCGTGTCATCCTCAGTGTCTGCTGTGTACCAGCCGTGACTGCTGTCACCGCGTCGGCCCGTCTTGTTGGAGTCCTCTTCCCCATAGAGGAGGGGGCTGTTAAGCCGACTTTTGAAGGATGAACAGAGTTGAGGAATGCCTCTCTTGTAAGAAATAATCCCCAAAGAAATAATTTTCTAAAAAAGAGCAAGAGATCATTACAGAAGGATCCTTTCCTTCACTCGGTAAATGCTGAGTTCCTGCCCTGTGCCAGGGACCGTGATTGCTGGTGGCATCGGGAGCTGTTGGGTAAGACTTACAGCAACACATGAACAGCAGACCTGAGCCCTCTCCTATCCAGAGCCGTCCACATCCTCTCTGACACACCTGGGCCAGGACTACAGTCTGTGTGTTAATCCATCTCACTGAGGGCGTCTCTCTCGCTGACCCTCCATCGTTCAAGCATGATACCCCTTTCCAAAGAATAGCCTCTCCTAGCAACATACCCGAAGTTTGCAAAATGAAGCTTCAGTTTGTCCAGGACATATCTGTTCCTTTTTTTTGGAAGTCGACGGGACATTTACTGTTCTCCAACACAGCAGCTTAAAGACATTGCCTCTTCTCCTGTCATCCTAATTCACTGTCCAGCTCTCAGGAGCATCACAGCTCATCGGAAAGACTATGGCTTTGATCAGGTGCACCTTAGTCTTTGGACTGACATTCCTGCTCTCCTGGACTTGGAGAGGTCCCTCTCTTGCCCAGTTCTGTGCATCTCCAGATCTGACTGCTGATATGAAGAGTGTTGATTGCCCTAACCTATCTCTTCTTCATCTCTGATGAACCATTGGCCCAGTGGTTAGGATTGTTTTCTTGATGTTGAGATGTAATCCACAGTGGAGGCTGTAATCTTCCACCCTCTGTGGCAACCGCTTCAAGTCCTCCTGACGTTTTCAGCAAAAAAGTTTTTGTCCTCTGCATAACGCAGGTTATTGATGAGTTTCCCTCTGATCCTGATGCAGCACTCTTTCCTAAGGTCCAGCTTCTCGTATAATTTTTTCAGCACACAAATTGAATAGGTGTAGAGAAAGGATACAGCCCTGAGTGTAGCCTTTACCTGTTGCTACTCCTCTTAACAGTTCTAAACTACATAATGTTCCCTTGCTAGGTTCAGACCATAACTTCTTGGTCTAGGTATAGTTTTCGTATAAGCAAATTAAATGTTCTGAAATTCCTGTTCATCTCAGTAGTAGCTGTAGTTTGTTATGATTCAATATTCAAATACCTTTGCATAGTCAGTGAAACACAGGTAGACATTCTTCTGGTACTCTCTGCTTTCAGGCAAGATCCATCTGGCATCAGCAGTGATATCTGGTGCCACAGAATCTTCTAAATGCCACTCGAACTTCTGGCAGTTCTCTGTCTAGATACATTCTAGCCATTTTAATATGATCAAGCAGTATTTTGCTTGCATGTGAGATTAATGATATTGTTCGATAATTTCCACACTCTGTTGGGTCACCTTTCTTGGGAATTTGAACAAATATGGACCTCTTGTGGTTAGTTGGCCAAACAGCTGTCCTCCAAACTTCCTGGCATAGACTAGTGAGCATGTCCAGGGCTGCATCTGTTACTTGGAATGTGTCATTTGATATCGCGTCGATTCCTGGGGCCTTACTGTTTGCCAGTGCCCTCAGAACAGCTTGAACTTCTTCCCTCATCGCCACTGGTTCTTTATCTTCTGGTACTTCCTGAACTATTTGAGTACTAACCAGTTCTCTTTTTTTTTTTTTTTTGTATAGTGACTTCGTGTATTCCCTCCTTCTTATTTTTCTTTAAGTTTGAAAAAAGTTCTGAAACGTTTTGTCTAATTCTTTTTCTTTTGATACACTACATACCCACCATACTCACCATCCATACCTTAGTTGTCATCGATGTAAATAAACACCTGTACGCTGTACACTTTACTCAGCTCTGGAGACCTGGTGGCTTAGGGGTTGCACTGCTGACCCACTTTTCCAAGTGTGATGTCTCCTTCCACGGAATAGCCTCTCAAGTAACGTGTCCAAAGTATGTCAGACGAAGCTTGGCCATCCTTGATTCCAAGGAGAACTCCGGCTGAACTTTTTCCAGACATACTTTTCTGTTCCTTTAGCAAGTCATGGCTTCTAGTACTGTCCTCCAACACCACATCTCAGTGGTGTCAATTCTTCTTCTGTCATCCTTGTTTATTGCCCACCTGTCAGGTCAATAGCAAGTGACTGAAAAGATCACAACCTGAAGAACAGAGACACCTTAGTCATGGACTGCGATCACTGCTTCTCAGCACTTTGGAGAGGTCCCCGACAGCAGATTTTGCCAAGGCACAATGTCTTCCAGTTTCTTGAGTGCGGGGACCAGGGGTGTTGATTGAGAAGTCGAGTAAGGTGAGACCCCTGACAGTTCAGTCTTCTCTCCACCTGTCTCGTTACTGCCTGTTTACCCAGTGTTGAGCACTTCTGTCTTGTTGGTGGTGAGCTGTAATCCCTGTTGAATGCCATAGTCTTTGATTTTCTGCACCACGCGTTTCAAGGCCTCCTCACTTGGATCATTCAGGGTTTTTCTGTCCGTTGCAATACTGAGAGACACTATGCAACTCGAGACTTGAATTTTTTTCAGTTCTTTCAACTTGAGAAATACTAAAGCAAGCTTTTCCTTTTCTATTCTCCAGCTCCACAATCCATGATAATACTTTGTCTTCTCCAGCTGCCCTTTGAAATCTTCTGTCCGTTTCTTTCCCTTTAGCATCTCTTCCCTTCGTTTTATCTTCTTGAAACACAGTGCAATTTTCAGAGTCTCTCCTGATAGCCATTGTGGGTTGGTTTTTCTTTTCCTTTCTCTCCTGTCTGTATTATTTTAATACCAGCAGGTGTGGTGATAGGTGCTGGAAATATAACAAAGAGCAAGACAAAGTCCTGCTTTTAGCAGCACCAAGAGACCAGCAGGAAGGGCCTCTGTTAAACAGGCATTCCTATTCCAATATTGTTGCTGAATTCAGGGCCTCTGAGCAGGTGTTCGACAGGACAGAAAGTTTTGGGAACCATGCTTCAAAGTTAGAAATCGATGGTTGAACAAAAAGACTAATTAACATGAAGACGAATGACTGTGCGTCTCCTGTGTGGCCCTCCTGTTGGTCTTTTAATAAAGATCTGGTGTTGGGAAATTCGACCAGGAGAGCTTTGTGTTCGAGGCCATCCTGGCACCCACATCCCACCACCGCCCTCCCTCTGGAGGGGCTACAGGAGATGGCAAAGCTCCCCGCAAGGTGGGAACTCAGCCCTGGGAGAGGGGCTGGGGCCTGAGAAGACGGCCTGGGCTCCTGAGGCCGGGCCCACTCCCCGCCTGGCCCCTGAGGAAAGGACGGGGAGCAGGGAGGAGCAGAGCGCACCTCCGCCCCTTGCCGACTCTCTGAAGCAGGTCTCCTCGGGGGAGGAGGCAGAGGCGGGTGTCCCCAGCTCAGGTGACTGGCACGCATGTCCAGTGCGGTGTCTGCCCCGTGATGAACACTCACCGTGACCTGTTATTACCGTTTAAACAGGGCTGTTAGGTCATGGAATAAAGGCTTCAGAAAGGCTAGGCTGGGAGCTTGGCAGGTGCTGGAGGAAGCCCTGGAATGCAGTCACCCGACTCATCTGTGGGGAGAGGGCCAAGCCGTTCCCCCTCGCTGGCCCTCAAGTGTTACCAGGAGAATGATTAGCCCATTTCTGGTCTCTGCTGCCCTGAATCTAACGACGCCTCTCTGTCCCCCTCAGACAGCGGGAGGGCTGTGGAAGTGACGGATCCTGGGTGGAATTTGGGCTCCCTCAGTTCTGGTCCCAGCTCGTGGTGACCTCTGTGCCTCAGTTTCCCTTTCTGGGCTGCAGGGCCTTGCTGTTGTGAGGCAAGTCTCAGCTTGGCCTGGAGGGGTTCGAGGACAGTGCCGTCAGACAAGCAACAGGAAACAGGTTAGCGTTAGCTGTAATCGTGCCTTATATTCAAGCTGAGAAGTCCAAGACGTCAGCGTCGTGTAGGCGATCGGTACACAAACACTATCCATGGGCTCTAAACTATCAAAAGGGAAAGAGGCTGTCAAGTTTGGGGGTTTCAAGATAAAGGAGCTCTCGTGATGGAGAGCTGAAGCTGCCGAGAGAAGGCCCGGGGTTTGAACCTGCCAGCGCTCTGCAGGAGAGGACAGGGCAGTCTGCATCCACGGAGACGTCACTGAGCTTCACTGAGCTCCGACACCCCCGAGGCCCTGAATAGTCACCATGGGGGAACTGCCGCAGTGGCAGGACGTTTGGTGAGCCTTCAGAAGCCACATGTCTGACACCCTCACAGTCCATCTCACTGGCATGAGACACGTGTCCAGCACTCCAGGGCCACGTGTGTGGCTGGTGGCTCCTTCCTGGAGCAGCAGAGGTCTTGATCATGAGTGTCTTGAGTTCAAGTCCCAGCACTGCCACTTCCAGCTGGTGGTCTGACGTTGCTTCCTCTGTGAAGGGGCTGATGCTGGCATTCATGGTGCTGGGGTTGCTGAGAGCTGTTAAGAGGACGTGTGGGGAGCGGGTAGGGTCCAGGGCCCTGACCACGCTTCACAGGCTCCCGTCCAGCCTTCAGCTCATTGCTCTCTCTGCCTGCCCAGGTCTCGGATGCGCCGAGAGATGTTGGTGGAGGGCACCCAGGACGAACCAGACCTTGACCCAAGCGGGGCACCCAGTGTTCTGCCACCAGTCCACTCCCAGCTGGACCCCACCCCTCAGAGTCCCAGCTCCGAGACTGAGGACCAGAAGCCCACAGTGAAGGACCTGGAGCTTCGGGAGGGCGTCGAAGAGAGCGCCAGGCCCCTGAGCACCCAGGACAAGGCCCCAGTGACGGTGAAGCAGGAGCAGACAGAGGATGAGGCGGACAGCAGACCCCAGAACTTAGGGGAGCCGGACAAGGACCAGGGGCTCCCCAAGGTGCAGCACCCTGAGCCTCCAGAAAACAAAGGGCTCCCCAGAGTGGCCCCAGAGACCCTCCTTCCCGGCGGGACCGCCCCGGACTTCCCCTTGGTGCATCCACCCCGGGAGAACGAGCAGTCCCACATGGACCCCCTAAGTTTTAAGTCGGCCTCCGAGTCCTCACGCTGCAGCCTGGAGGTATCTCTCAACTCGCCCTCGGCCGCCTCCTCACCAGGCCTCCTGATGTCCGTGTCCCCCGTACCCTCCTCCTCAGCCCCCATCTCTCCATCCCCACCAGGAGCCCCCCTTGCCAAAGTGCCCAGTGCTAGCCCCACGGCTGACACAGCCGGGGCCCTGCACCCCAGCGCCAAGGTGAACCCCAGCCTGCAGCGGAGGCACGAGAAAATGGCCAACCTGAACAGCATCATCTACCGGCTGGAGCGGGCTGCGAACCGGGAGGAGGCCCTGGAGTGGGAGTTCTGAAGGCCCTGGGGGCGCCGTCCCCTCCCTCGGCCTTGCGGGGAGCACCCTGCTTTCACGGAGTGGGGCGTGAGGGGCCGGGACAGGTCCTACCTCCACTCCTCCAGTGCCCGGAGCTCCACCCCAGCGAAAGCACCACGTTTTCACCTGCAAACTCCAAACTCTTTTAGAAAAAGAAAGAAATATTTATAGACCTCTTTTAGCTATTTTAATAAAGGATCCTTTGGAATTTATTCCCAGCTGAGGCTGTTTTGATATTACAGAGAGATATAAAAATCAGGATGCTGTCACAACTGTTGCGAGTTATACACTGAAGTTGTATTGTTTTTTTTTGCCACTAGATGAGATTAAAAGAAGACAATTACTCAAAGCCATCACAGGACACTCTAAGACTGACCCAGATTACTTAGATAACCTTTGAACCCCACCCCCTCGTCTGTGAGACACGGGCTCCCCTCCAGAGCCTTGCCCAGAAGCGACAGTCCAGAAGACTCTAAATGAAGTCCGAGGCCGTGGAGGACGTGTTCGACTCAGTCGTCCTGGGCACTTGGTCACCCAGAATGTCCCGTGCTCTTGTGATGGGCAGAGGTGGCCTGTGGCCCAGCAGCCTGTGCAAGACGTGGCATGGTGCACAGCAAACTGCTTCCCCACCCTGAAGAGGACAGCAGAGGGCCTGGAGCCTGGAGTGCACGTGGCCTCTGTCTCCCCAGCAGCCAGGGAGCGCCCCCGCGCCCGTCTTCCTCACCAGCTGACCCTGGAGCTGATCTGGAAGGCCTGTCTGGCTCTGCGTCCCCCCACGGGACACAGTGAGGAGGCCAGGGTCCCCACTGCACACCCACCCAGCCGCATCCCAGCCTCTGCCTTCAAGGCCCAGCATCTGAGGCCGCCCAAGTCCAGCGCCCAGGTCAGAGTTCCCACCCCGAGCCGTCGTTTCAACTGGTCGTTGAAAAGCTCCCTAGTTTTTCTCTTTGCCTTTGTCAGACTGTCCAGGGGAAAGGCTGGAGTGAGTGACACCCCCATGGGGTTCAGCATGACAGAGATTACAAAGCAACTCAAGCCAGTGGCCAGCAGGACCCCGCACGTGCGGCCAGTGCGGGGAGACATCATGTGCCCGCTCAGTGACCAGAGGGCCCAGGGGAGGCTGTTCAGGGGGGGCCTCTGGTCTCCCACCAGGCAAGGGGCAGCAACACCACCCACACGGGGAGTCGTCCTCGCCCTCCCGGCCTCTACACTGACTACTTTTCCACTGTATACATTTTTATCCAGATGAAGGTATTTTTATATTTTGACACTAGGACCCAGTGACCAATAATTTTCAGAGTACTCAAATCTGGAACAAATGGACCCTCTCCTTGGCCACCCTGTGACCTCCAAGACAGCCATGGGGAGACGCCTCTTAGCGTCACACCCACACGGCCCGGATGAACTTACTCTGGCTTGAGAACGGCGGATTCGGTGAAGCACTGAGTTGTGTGGTCTTTGAACATGAAAATCCTGTCCTGCTCAAAGCTAGTGGCCCTGTGTGAGCAACTGTCAGGTTCACATCCTGTAACGGGGGAAACTGCCACAAAACCGTTTCTATGAGAGATTGATGAACTTTGTCTAAACTTTTAAAAAAAGAAAAGGAACAAGTTCTGTGAGTCGCTAAATACAGAATTGTGCAACTCCTGGGGTCCTGCTTGCTTTGTTCCTGCCGCGGGGCTGCAGCCCAGGGGACGTGGACAGCCCCGGGCCTCCCAGGAGGCTGTGTAGGACTAGCGTGCGTCTACTGACGCGGGGCAGGGGGGAACGTGGACAGCCCCAGGCCTCCCAGGAGTCTACTGACTGGGGGACATGCCCTGTGGAATTGGCCCTCCCAGGAGGCTGTGTAGGACTCGTGTGGGTCTTCTGACCTGGGGACATGCCCTGTGGAATCTAGCCCTGGCCTCTCTTGGCAGCATGAGGTCTGGCCCACTACAAAGGGCACGTGCATGAGTGGTGCCCTCTCCTCCTGACAGAAATACCAGGGAGGCCAGGTGTGGTAGGCCCCTCCCCAGCTCTGTGCCTACGGCCTCAGTGTCCTCGCCTGGAAAGTGGGAATATCAGCACAGCCAGGTCCGGGTCATTATGAAGAGGGAGCAAGTGCAGGGAACGGTGAGGATGGTGCCCGGGGCCCTTGTGCATGTCCAGCTGCACGCGGCTCACCTCAGCCAGGGCCACATGAGTCCCAGGACACTGCTGCGCTCTGTCAGGTGGAAACTTGCCAGTGGCTCCGGCTTTTCATCCTGAGCTTGCACTAAATGACCAGCTCGCCCCACCTCGAATAGGATGACCAGCGGCTGGAGCCCTGAGGGGCAAGTTCCTCATCTGTGACATGGGGAGGAAAGTTATGGCCCCTTCCTCATAAGCCAGTTAAAGAAAACCGAGGCCTGGTTCCTCTGCACAGCTCCTGATAGGGCCGGAGGCCAGAAGCCCCACAGACGTGGGGTGCATAGGAGGCAGAGCAGAAAAGACACAGAAGCCTCCTAGGATCCAGGGACAGGGGGTCCACACTGGGCCATCTGGAGTCAACAGTGTGAGAATTATAGGGGGGGGGCAGAGATGAGGGCCCAGGCAGGAGGGGCCAGCCTTCTGATTAAGCTGGGTGTGGACAGAGGGGTGGGGTTAGTGTACAGAGAGCTGAGATAAGGATGGATAACCGCATTACTGTTCACCTAGCCCTTAAGTATTTCTTGAGAATCTACTCTGGAATACAGGGACCATGACAGTCCAAGAAGGCTTCCTGGAAAGGGGAGCATTTCAGCCAAAACCTGAGCAATGGCAAGAGCTAAGGAGAAGCAGAGGAGGGGGACAGGGATGAAGAAGGCAGGAGATGACTCAAAGGGAGCTGGACATTCTAGACGAGCCAAGGGCACCAGGGAGCCATGCAAGCCTGATGGAGGGCCTGGGGAGGGCTCGGGGTGCCCCCTCTGTGACAGGCAAAGCCCCCTCCCACTCCAGACTTCTGTTTCTCCTGGTCTAGATCCTTCTGTCAACCCTCAGCCGGCCTTGGGGTGAAAAGCCAGCCTGGACCTGTTCTTTAAACTGAGCCAGGCTTTTCTAAAAGCTTACCTCTGCGCCACCCGTCCAGGCAGAACAGGGGAAGGCAGGGAGACGGGGGAGCAGGGGGGCGGTGGGTACCATATGGGCAGGTGGGCCAGGGCAGGCAGAGGTCCAGGGGGGCAGATGGTCTTGGGGCACAGGGGACTGGAGAGCAGTCGGGCCAGGGCAGGTAGGGAGAGAGGGGGACAAGAACCAGGAGGGGCCAGGCAGGGCAGGGTCATTGGAGGAAGCAGGGAACCAGGAGGGGCAGGGTAATCAGACGGGGCAGGGGGATGGGGAGGCCAGGGGATTCATGGGAGCTGGGGGGGCAGGGAGACCAGGTGTCATTGCTGAGGACCCTGGGCCATTGGCCTGCTGGCTTGTGGCAGACCTGAGCCAGAGTGGGCAGCAGTCAGGGTGGGAACAGGAGGCAAATCCCTGGAACCCCCCAGGGATCCCCAGCCTCCCTAAGCTCGAGGCTGCTGAAGCCGCCCATCAAGCCCCCCATGGTGGGGGGCCTGGCCTGCGGTCCCCCGGGGGCAGCCAAGGGGTCCTGACAACCACTGGCCGGGCTCTGCAGAGGGAGCAGTCAGCTTGGCCTGTGGGTGTGCCAGAAACAGAGAAGGCACGGCCAGACAAGCGGGGAGCCCCGAGACTGTCGGGTGGAGGGAAGCGGGCTCCTTGAAGGTCTGCAGGGCAGATGGGCAGGAAGCTGCAGACCTCGCTCCACTTAGGCCTCCCTCAGGCCCCCGCCCTCACCTCACACCCCTCAGGACGGCTACCCCACCCTTCATGTCGGTCCTCCAGCCGGCCCGTTGGCTTCCCAGGCTTCTGCTGCAGATGGAAAGGGGGGGGGCCTGGTCACGGGGAGGCAGGCGCCCACCCTCAGAGCCAGCCTCAGGGTTCCCAGGTGGGCACACCCCGTCAGGCTGGCTCCCCCACAAGCCACCCAGGACCCCAGGCGCAGGTACAGTGAGCAGAATCTGGTCTTTTGGGGTATTAGTCTGTTCATTTTCCACAAACATCAGACGTCACTGGTTCTTGGCTGGGCTCTGAGCGGCCAGTCACAGAGTCTGGTCCTTGTGTCCAGTGGGTGAGGAGAGTGAGCAGGGAGGGCACACAGCCTGGGCCCCGTGTGGGCATGGGGCTGCTGATCTGAGGGCCCTCTCCTAGCAAAGACCAGCGCCTGGCAGCGTTTTCTGTCAGGAAGTCACAGAAAAGCCCTGCTCCGAGCTTTAGGAACACGGGCATTTATTACCTCAAGTCGCCCATAGGTAGACAGGCTCCAAGCTGGCAAAGTCAACAGTTCAAAGACATTTTCCAGCATGTGCCAAGGTCAGTGTGAGAGCATTTCCTCAGGAGCCTACTTCATGATCACGGGGTGGCTGCCACAGCACCAGCCATCACAAACATAACCCTTCTCAGAGGACAAGATGACCCATCCCCTTATGCATCATTGGCCAAAATTGGGTCACACACCCTCACTTCAGCGCCTAACATGTAGCCAGCCCCTGAGAGAGGAACAGGGACAGCAGAGCTGACTAACTTGACTGGTCATCCTGGGTGGGGGGTGGTGGGCAGCCAGCGTGGCATCTCTGACCTGGGTTCTCACCCCTACCTCAAGCGGCTTCTCGGAATGCACCTCCCATCCACGTCCAGTTCTCCCCACGGTGGAGGCCAGGTTCCCCGCCTCCCTTCAACTCTGGACCTGGACACTTCTGGTCAAGGGGAGACGCTGACGTGTTCACAGTGGCTGTCCACACTTACCTTGGCGCCAGCCTGGCCCCCTCCACCTTTCAGTCCACCTGGAGGGCAGGCAGGCCTGTCACTCTGTCAGCTTTTTACTGTGACAGCAAACTGGTTTCCACTCAGCCATTTCTGCGTTTCGTTCCGACTCTGACTGCAGTCCCCAGGAGGTACCAGCACTCTTCTCGTTACGTCCCTGTATGCCCTTTTCTCTTTGTCCTCTTACCCCTCCCTGTCCTCTGAGCTTTCTCCCTGGACACCTGTGGCCCTGTTGATCTTACATGGTTGACGGTCCTAAGGGCGTGTCCCTGCCAGTCTTACTGACCCCTGAATGGTCCTGGTTTTCGTGGAAGCTGAGAAGCGATCAGGTACAGGCTGAGGGGTGACCCGGAGCTTAGTCTCAGGAATTCCAGTCTCTGACTAGTTAGCTTGGGTCTTTTTTTACTAAGAGTCTTGTTCCACATTCTAGAAGGTTCTATCGAGATCCCTTCTGGGCAGCCAGCAGTGGCCCTGTGCACCACCTAGGTCATGGCGGCTGGCTTCACAGGCTCTAGTCTCACTCAATTCAGATCTTTGATTTTCTTCACTCCTCTTTGCTCCAGACAAGAGACCACTCATTGAACCTTCAGTGTCCACTCACAAACTTAGAAGACCCCAGTCCTACTGACCAAATGGGTCATGGGTAGGCAGAGTCTCTGACACTGTGGTGCTTGGTCATTAGGACGTCCTTAGAGTCCATTCTCAGTGGCAGTCACGGATCTGTCTGCAGCATCAGTCCACGCGTGGACCCATCTGTTCATCTGTCCGCCCAGCAGCCCTGTTCAGTCTGTCCCCTCGTAGTGGCCCTTCCTCTCAGGGCTGCCTCTCCCCTGCCCAGTCCCCAATTCTGCAGCAGCTGTGGTCACCAGTATCCCGGGCAGCGCCCCTACGCAGGCTGCAGGGAGAGCCATTTCCCAGCTCCCGCGTGCCACTGCTGCCCAGGTGACGGGGTGACTCAGCACACACACCCCCTCACGAGGGGCTCATTTGTTCTCCAGTTCTGTCCGCAAACCACTGGTGGCTCATCCTAAGCCACATTTTCCTAAATGTGCATGATTTTTCCAGGCTGACAAGGAACACTTGTGACCCAGTCACACTGGGTGGCCCTGAGCCAGCCTCCTGCCTTCCCCGAGTCCCCCACAAGCCCAGTGAGCCAGGTCTGATCCACGAGGCAGTCACTGTCCACCATGGCTTGAGGCTCGCTCACTGACCTGTGTCCCCACGAGGGATCCAATGGCCAGCCTGGGCGTCTTGCTCTCCCTGCCAAGCCCAGCCTCAGAACTCCAGTACTTCCACCCTGCAGTTCTATGCTTTTAATGCAGGGATTCAGTTTGCATCCCTGTCCTGACATTTCCCAGTCATGGGACCTTGGCAGGTTTCTCAACTTTCCTGAGCCTCAGTTTCACCATGTGTGAAATGGGCTACTGTCTGCCCAGAGATGTCGTTGTAGGAATCAGTCTAGTGGGGCACCCACAGGGGCACTTCCTCAAATGTACGGACGGGGACAGGAGAAAACAAACACAACAGCCACCGTTTGACAAACTTGTGTTTATCTCAGCCCTCGCCTCCACCTCCTCCACTCAACCCCAGAGGCATCTTGTACTTCGGGGTGCAGGGCTCTGTACCGTTAAGTCTGTAAACCTGCACCAAAACTGGGCCACCTGCCTCACATCTCAGCCCTCCAAGGCCCAGAGCCTGCGGCCAAAAGCCTGACCACTGAGATGAGAGCAGGGGACTCTGGGAAGGAGGGACCCGTACCGACCCCAGAGGCAGCCCAGGGAGAGAGAAGGGGGAGTGGAAGATGCCCTCGAGGGCACCTCTGCCTCTCCAAACTGGGTTCTCAGCAGCCTGACTCCTGCCCCCTCCCCATGGACAGTCCCCACTGTGTCCCCCTCCGTCCCCCCCTCCCCGGCCAGGCTCAGCCCTGGGGCCACCCATCCCTCCCCAGCAGACAACAGGAAACAAAAGCAGTAAAAGAGCAAACTCTATAGCTACAGAAAACCACCCTAAGTGTTTAAAAATAAAATTAAAACTATAGCCCCGCCCACTGAGCCAGCAGTGGGCAAGTGAGGCCTTGGGGGCAGGCGAGGACCCCAAGCCCCAGGGTCTCCAAACGCAGGGGCCTCGTCTGTCACCGGGGCAGCCTCAGGGGCAGTAAAGGTCAGCATGATGGGGTCCTCAGGTCCCTGGTGCAGGACGCTGAAGATTGTAAACATGACCCAGAGGGAGTGCCGGGGGCCGGCGTGGGTCCTGAACCCCAGACTCCCTGGGCTAGAAGTGGGCACTGCGGTGAGGAGGGGGAGACTTTTGACTGAGGGGGGACAGGCTCGTGTGTTCAGAGACAGGAACATGGCTGATCTGTAAGCTGAGACAGGGCTGTGCAGAAGGAACTGTGTGGAGCTCGAAGGTTCTGGAAACCAAACAGACTTGCTGGCTTCAGTTCTGACACCTTCGGAGCAGCACCTGGGCCTCCCCTGACGGTCGGTCTGCTCACGACCACCCCACCCTGCATGGACCTGTCCCCAAGTGTGGGGGCCGGGTCCCAGCTCGGTCAGGGTCACCCAGGTCAGCCAGGTCCAGGAAGACGAGACTGAAGACTAGCAGGCCAGGTGCGTGCGGTCCCATGGGGACAGGGCACGGCCTCCTGGGCCTGGAGCCAGGGGCCCCAATCACTCGGGCCTGGGCCTCCAGGTGACCTTCCAGTGTCCATGGGTGGGCAGTTCGGCCCAGAGTCCTCGTGGGGATCAGGGACTGGACCTGGGCCAAGGCAACCTTGGGGCCTGCACAAGAGCTGGGCCTTTAGTACCAGCTTCTCCATCCCCCACCCTGATTGTGGTTGTGGCCACAGGGCCAGCTGCGTGGTCAGGCGTCGGGTAACCTCCAGGCAGCCTGGCCGCTCCCACACTCCCTCAGGGCCGGGCCTGGCCCCGTGACCACTGGGCCCGCAACGCCCTGACCTCCTCCCCATAGTGCGCATGCAGCTGGGCGAAGGGAGCCCTGTCCAGTGCACCACTGAAGGCGGGGGCCCGGCGGCGGGGCGGCAGCGGCGGGGGGTCAGGGCCAGGCTGGTGGCCGGCACCGGAGGCCGCGGGCGGCTCGGCGTTCCAGACGGCACAGCCGTTCTCCTTGGGCAGCAGGGCGCGTGGCCGGCAGGGCGGTGGGCAGGCCCCCCCGGCACGCATGGCCGCCAGCTGCTGCTCCAGCTCCCGCACCACCAGCCGCAGGTAGTGGAAGGAGGCCCGGGACAGGGCCTTCACCCAGCCCTCCATGGCCGCCTGGCTGTCGGCGGCCAGCACGTAGGTGCGTGCCCGCGAGCCCACGAAGCGCACGGCGAAGGCGAACTCCTCGGTGGCCTCCACCAGCTCCACCGTGCAGCCCTCCAGGATGATGACGCCCACGGGCTCGCGGCTGGCCGGCTCCTCGAAGTAGAAGAGCATGTTGCCACGCAGCACGAACCAGCGGCGCTGGTAGGCGGCGTGCCGGCCGCCCCTCTTGCACAGGAAGCCCGCGTTGTCCACAGGGGCGTCGCAGGTGGCATAGAAGGCCAGGCTGCGCTCATTCAGCTTCATGGCTTCGACCCTGTGGGGAGCCAAGGCCAAGACCATCATCAACCCCGGGCCACCCCACCACCGTCACACCCCACAGACCAGGAAACTGAGGCTCGGACCTCGGTAGCCCCGGGTAACACCGAGGAGGCCAAACCAGAGTGTGCCAAGCATTTTATCACAGAGCTCAATGCGGGACTGTCGTAACTGGGAAAGAGACTCGTCTCCCATCTGAACAAGGCCAGCCGCACTCGCCCGACGCCTCACTGCAGGTTAGATGCAGCTGAGACTGGACCTGGGCCTCACTTCAGGATCAGCTCCTGCCATCATCCCCTGGGGTCGGGCCAGCTGACCGCCTCCCTCACCTTTCCTTCCAGCTCCCAGCTCTGCTCACTGTGGCTCTGAATCAATGTGCCATCCACAAAACAGGCAGGAAGAGAAGCTACCTCAGAGGCCTGCTGGGACTGTATTTACCCACCTGATATTGACTGAGCACTGGCCATCTGCCAGCCACTGCTCCAGCCGGGGAGGGAGCAGCGAGCAAAGTCCCCGCCCGCACCGGCTTGCTAGTGAGCAGAGGGGTGGAGGCTGGAGCCGAGCAGGGAAGACAGAGGAGGAGGATGTGGCTGGAGGCAGGCAAAGCTTTCAGAAGGAAGGTGCGTCTGTCACGTATGTAATGGATCCATGAACCTGACCGCCTTCCCCCCAGGAGCACAAGAAGGGTACAAAACTGGCCAGCTGGGACTGACCGGAAGGTAACACAGGCCTCCTGGGGGCCTGCCTCCCTGGGGATCTCCTGGGCCACTCTGAGGACACTCCCTTTTCACACCATCTCCCTGGACAGGTCTGCAGCCACATTTTTCAAAAGGCCAAGTACTTCTTCCTGGCATGCAGTGGGCACTCAATTAATGCTCCTTTCCCCTGCCTAGGTGTGGCCTCACTCAGGCCAGGAGGAATGAGGTCAGGGCAGCGGCCTTCCCAGGAGCAGGTGGCATGAGTGCAGCTCGGCCTGCCCCACGGAGGAGCGACTGCTCCCAGCCAGGTCCTGGGTTTCCTCATCCCCTCATCTCACCCAGTCAAGGGAGGCTTCCTGAAAGAAGTGACAGCTTGATACAGCAGCTCGGCCCAGTCTGTCCACACCGGCAGGGGGCCTGAGGCCGGAGCCCCCAAAAGTCCACAGTTTAGTCCTCTCCCTTCCTGAGCTGTGTGGCCTCGGACACAGCTTGGCCCTCTCTGAGCCTCAGTCTTTCTTCCTGCCAAATGGGACTCATGCCATTTCCTGGGACCCCTGGCCCATGAACTCTAGACCATGGCTCACGGGAACCTCCCACCTCACTCCCTCCTACCTCCAGCTTCTAGTGTGCTCCTGCGTTCAGATCCCAGCCGGGCAGCATATGGGCTGTGGAACCCTGGGCAAGCGCTGGGCCCGTCTGGGCCACCAGGTCCACACCTGTGAAATGAGAGCAGGGTCAGGGTTCCTGCGACAAGGAGACAGGACCAGGTGGAATGTGAACAGAGCAGGTACACAGCTGCGGTCCAGCCAGGGGCCTCTGTCTCCCACACCCCACACGTGGGCGTCCTCACACCCACTCACGTCCCGGCTGCTGTCAGGTTCTGTCATGTCACCTCCGACTCAGTGACCCTGAGAACAGAGCCGAACCCGCCCTATCCTGTGCCGTCCTCACCATGTCTCCTTGTTGTCAGGTACCATCCAGTCAGAGCTGACTCACAGCTGACCCTCCCCTCTGTCCACTACCAGCTCCCCACCCTATGCCTGCCTATCACTGTCCCCCTGGACAACTGCACTAGGCTCCTCCTCGGTGATTCCGTCCTTGTCCCCTCCCTGCACACAACTCCCCAGTCCCTCAGAGCAAGGTCCGGCAGCCTTCTGACCCACAGGGTCCTATCTGCCTCTCCAGCCTTCCGCAGGGTACAGGCCTTTGCTGATGAGATTGCACTGAGAACACTTCCTCCAGGAAGACCTCTCTGACGGATCAGGGGCCAAACTCCTCCCCCAGGCCCTAAGCCGTCCCACCATCCTGTTCCTGGGGGGGCCTCGGACACCCTCACACCCCCACCTCTCAAGCCTTGACTGATCCAAAGCAGGGTTGGTTCCTTTATATACTAAGTGTCCAGTCAACATTTTATAAACAGAGCCCCATAGGCACCTGACACGATCAGAAACAGGCTAGGAGATGCAGGAAGGGTCAGGGAAGAGAGACGTCCACACAGGGATGTGGCCAGGACAGCATTCCTGCCGTGGTGTGGCACACGCAAGGGCAATGGGGTGGTCCAGCACAGAGGGGTCAGGAGTACAGACGGACAGCGGCCTGGACCAGCCTGCTGGGCCTCACTGCTACCTTCCCTGTCTTCCCTGCAGTCTGCTCCCCACACCTCAGTGGAGAGACTGGTCCAAACACACCCCTCTGCTTGCTCTAAGACTTCCCATAGCTCCCCATTTCCCTTAGTGCAAAATCGAGTCCTCACCATGGCCCCCCAGACTTTCCCCCTCGCTCACCTGTCCACATTCCCCCTACAAAGCCTTTCCTCTACCCCTCCCATATCTTCACACACCTCAGTTTCAGCTCAAGAACACTGCCTCCAGGAAGCAGTCCCAGACTGCCCCCGTCCCCACCAGTCAACATAATTACCTGGGTCATGTTTGCCTTCCTGAGGGCCAGCTCTTTGTCTGAATTCCCACTGGCATGCAGTAGGTCTTCAAACACCTGTTGAATGTATCAAGCAGTGAGTGTCTTGAACTTCTCAAGAGCCTTGTAAGGAGTAGGTCTATTCCCTCCACTTAACAGATATGAGAGGCACAGAGAGATTAAGTCATTTGCCCAATGACACAGTACTGGACCAGCCCCACATTCTGGGACACAGCTAAAGGAAGGACATCCCTCAAGGTCAGTGCTCCCCTCAATTGCCCAAATGAGGCAGCCTGGCCAAGGTCACAGTGTCATAGCACAAGGACCAGCTCTGAGGCCCCAGCCTCCTCCAGCCCATGGAGAGAAGATGAAGGGCAGGAAGCGGCCCGGTTCCCGCCTCACCCAGAGGCTGCCTTATCTCCTCGTGCTGCTTCCCAAGCCCAGAGTTTGCCTGTTGTGGGCACTGCTGCTGATTCAACAGCCTGTGGCCAGGCAGGAAGCTGGAAGGGACTGGTCACTCCACGGCCAAGGCCAAGTTCCCGCCTCTACCACAACCAGAGGAAGCCAGTCACCTTCACCTTCCTAAGCCAGTTTCCTCATCTGTCAAATGGGCTGTGGCAGAGGCATGTATCTGAGATCAAGGTAAACAGATTTATCAGTGTTTCCTAGCTAATCTCTAGTCAAGTTTGCTGCCTGTTCACCACTTCAGAGCAAGGGTGAAAAGCACGTGAAACTTCCCTGCAGCCTAATAAGTGAGCACAGGAAAACCAGATCTGTACCAGGATCTACACACTCTGTAGGAAGGGGCTGGTGTGGGGGGAGATGCCAGTGAGAAGCGGAATCTCCCACGTGAAAATGTGCATGCTTTGCTACCGACTGGCAAGTAAGCACAAGTCAGCTGTCTGTGGAAATCGGGCCCTGGGCTGCGGAGCCGACGCAGGAAGGGAGGACTGGGCTGTCAACCTTAGGATGCTCGAGGCTCATGTGCAAAATGGGGAGCTCTGGGGTTCAGATCCATCAGCCTCCGTGCAGCCCCTCCTTCACAGGCCTGGAAACCCTACCTGTGCCAGCACTGACCAGACACCAGTGGATAAGGGCATGTCAACGCCCTCTCCGGGAGAGGGTGACTTCATCCCTGCTGAAGGGTCATTCTTCAGTGTGTGGCAGGAAGTGTGAGCCCTCAGAGAAGGAGCTGGTCCACGTCCAGGGACAGCGGGGAAACTGAGGCACCAGAGGCACGCAGTTCAGCACCCACCAAGGAGGCCTGAAGAAGCCAGGACAGCTGGTCCTGGGGGCTGAGTCCAGCAGCCCCTACAGGAGACTGTCCATGTTCCCACAGCGGGTGTGAAGAGGAGGGTGTGGCAGGAACGGGCAGAAATGCATGTGCCCTGAACCCGGAGCAGCCACCTGTCCGCTGCCCTGACTACAGGGCCCCAGGGCAGCCCCAGTGCCCACAGCAGAGGCTAAGCGTCCACAGTGTCTGCCCCTACCCCACTGTGCTGTGCCAATCTGAAGGACATGGGGCTCTGGGAGCTCCTCAAAGCCCACCAGGGTCCCAATGGGTGGTCAACAGTAGGGTGCATGCCAAGGGAGGGCTGTGGTCTGTGTCTCCCCGGCACTGGAATCCCTTGTGGGGCTCAACAGCCACGTTCACCCTGGCAGCCGGGGACGCTGCTCCTGGAGTAGAGGATCCCTGGAGAGGCCTCCCCCCCTGTCCACCCGTCCCCCTCACCTGCCCACCTGATCACCCCACTTGTCGCCTCTCTTCTCTACCTCGTTCCTCCCCCTGTCCACCCGTCCTCCCGCCTGTCTGCCCGTCCACCCGATCCCCCTGCCTGTCCACCAGGTCCCCCCGCCTGTCCCCCTCATCCACCAATCCTATTACCTGTTCGCCTGTCCACCCCGCCTGTGTGTCCCCCACGGCCACTCGCTCTCCGCCCGTTCCCCCTGCCCCGGCCACCCGATCGCCCTGCCTGTCCGCACGTCCCTCCACCTGTCCACCCGGTCCCCCGCCGGACCAGCCTTACCTCGCGGCACAGACCTCGGGCGGCGGGGCCGGGGGGCCGGCGGGCCGTGGCCCGGGACCCGCTGGCGGCGGGCACTGCGGCGGCGCTTTGTCTCCCCGCGGCCAGGCCCGCGCAGCCGCTGTGGACGCAGACGGAGGGAGGCGGGCGCAGCCGAGCGCGGGGCCGGCCCCTTTAACCTTTCCCACCTCGCCCGTTCAGGGCCCGCCCCCAGCCCGACCTGCTCTCTGATTGGCCAGTGTCTGGACGACACTCCCCCGGATTCGCTACGCTCGGGTGGGATCGCTCCAGTGGGAATTCTTAAAGGCACCGGAACTGGTTCTCTCTCTGCCCCTTGAATGCTCATTGGAAA